AAGACAAAATCAGTTGTTCTAGTACCTGTGCGGCTGGAATGGCGTATCTAGTTCCATAATAGGGACACGCCTTCAGCTGCTTTCCAGCACTCACCAGCTCCTCTATGTCCTGTACTTCTGACTAACAACACCATTTGAAAATAATAATCAAATAAATTATATTATTCTCTGTTCAGATAGTACATTGCATTTTGTTCAAAATGTCAACTTTTAAGAAGTTCACCAGTTTCTCATTTTTAATGACTAGTAGTATGTTTTGAATGTGTATTATACTGTGACTTAATAAATGAAATTGTTCTGCTGGAAAACTCACCAAAGTCTTGTCTCTCAAGTCCAGCATATTTTCCTGTTTGTAGAATGGGCAACTACCAGTTGAATTCTTTTTCCTTTTTGGTTTAGCCTCTCCGTCTTTTGCACGTGGTTCTGCAAAACAGAGAGTTGACAAAGAGTATGATTTTATTTCCGACTTGATGCTAAACAAATACTGCTTATCAATGCAAAATATTAACTGTAAGTTCATTGGAGCTCTTTTTATCTTTTTATTTGTCTGTCTGTCTCTTTTTTTTTTAATCAGTCCTTGAAAATCTAACTATCCCATTTATGCATATTCTTGAAAATTCCCTTTCCTTATTTTATATAAATTAGTTACTCACATAAACATCAGAGGTCAAAAAAGACCTTTGAAGAAACTTGTTACCATAAACAATGTCACAATAAAATCATGTCATGCTAAAATTACAATCATTGTAAGGTAACTGCTCTCAAACCTTTCTTATTTTTCTGCATCTCCAAACAGCGATCATTCATCAAGCTGAGGGAGTGGAGTTTTCTCACCACTTTATTGATGCACAAATTCTGAGGAATATACATGATACTGTATAGCAGCTTATATTCAGTTAATAAACATGCCACAGTTAAGTCAAAATTTATATGTGCAATCTGTAACTATTCGAAGGTATATAACAAATGTGAACTTAATCTTGATTCACTGAACATTAGAAAGAATGAAAGGCAATAATTACTAGACTCTACCATGTTTTGGATGAGAATGAAGCCAATAACATTTAAATATGCATTATGTCCAGATAGATCTTTGACAAATGCAAAAGTTATTTTTCTACCCTGGGCAAAAACATATATCAAATATTGGTCAGTGTTTTACTAATGCCGAAGAGGAACATTCCATGATAACTTACTTGTCTAGAGCCCAGAGCCACTGCTCTGATGTCACTCTGAAATGGACTCTTCTGAACCTCATGTAGAAACTGTGACAGCTGGGAGTGGGTTCTGCTGCAAAAGTAAATCTGAAATGGAAAAAAATTAAGTGAGTCATGTTTTCTTTTAGGTAAAATGCAAGATTTACAGTATGGGGATAACAATTTTATCTAAAAGTCATTCAGAGAGGCAGAGTATCTTACTGATAGGTAAATGCATATCAACAGTAATGCTATGTCACCACCTGCTAAAATGACAGTGACATATTCTCAGCTGAAGAAGTGTAAAGTGCACACAGTATTGTAAAGCTTTTGATTTCAACCTTACTTTTGTCACATGCTCATCCTCATCTTTATCTTCCTCCTCCTCTGTATCCTCATCTCCTCTTCCTGCCTCCTCGTCACTGTGGTACTCACTCACTATTATCTTCTCATCCTCTTCATCCTCCTCCTCTTCTGTGCTGGTGCCTGTTTTTTCTGAGGAGTTCATTTCTTTCTGAAACTGCTCCCTCAGGTCATCAGAGGCACCTTGGAATAAAAAGTCAAATTTCTCCTCTAGCAGGTCTCTCTGAAAAAGTTGTTTCTAGTTTAGTTTCTTGAAAACGTTTTCATAAATGAACAAACTGCAAACTAAATCAACCAACTGGTGTGTTCACTGATTGGATAACACCAAGATTTCAACAGAAAATAACAATTTCATAACAAACTCAATGATTCATGTCATGATATAAGCAGAAGTTATGCAGTGGTGCAAGTATTTGTATTAGATATATTCATATATAAATCAGTCACATGGCCATAAGTAAAACAGGTCTGGACTAAAAAAAATGTCCTCCTTCACTTCATAACATTCCAGGCACTCCTTGGATATCTTAATAAAGTTTGGTGTTATTCCATGTGATTAAAAGGAAATTTTCAAAGTATCAAATAGCCATCAGGCTATGGAGCTTAATCCACATCAACCTCTGGTTGCTGATCAACTTACTTTCCGCTTGTTTGACTGTGTCCTCCTTACATTATTCCTGATTTCTTCAAGCTTGGCTTCACGTTTCAGTCTCTTCTCTCTCTCTTCCTGAGTAAATAGAAGCAAAAAATATGAATCCCTGTTGCCCTCTCTTTTCATTTATTTCAACAAAACAAATAATAATAATTATAAATATTCTATAAGATACTTAGAAAAATATTTGTTATTCTGAATATCTAAAATTACCTTCACTTTCTTCTTTGACTCATCCTCTTCTTGTTTCTTTGCAAAAGCTGTTATCCAGTCTAGCTCTTAAGTAATCAAATTAATGATAATTACAAGTACTGTAAACATTCAATTTAAGTAAAAATCTAAGTCAGGACACAACAAATATTTAATTTTGGAACACGATACGATGTACTAGAACTGAAAATTAAGAAATTCATAAACAGATGTTGAGCATAAACATTATAATTGTTCTTGGTTCAAACACCTTTGTAAAATATTTCACCTGAATCTTTAGAGATCTGTTTGTTTCCAGACTGTTCAGCATTCTTTTCTTCTTCCTCCTCTGCTAACAGGACTTCCAGCTCTCTGCGCTGCTTCTCCTCAAAGTCTCTCAGCCAAGTGAGTGCACCACAGATCAAACTCAAAGATTTACCCTGAACAAAACAGAGGGTGAATCCGTGATAAAGAACAACACAACAAAATGATTGGAATTTTTTTAATAGTTATTATTTTTCATGGCAAATATTGTAAGACTATTTTTAACATTAAAAATATCTTTTAAAAACAGTAATTCTTCTACATTACTGCTAATGTCAGAAAATGCAAAATAATAGAAAAAAATCCAATGGAAATACTATAGACTTTCTGCAACCGATTCCTACCGTGCCAGTGGGGCTCTCAAATATCCCTATCTTGCCAAGCTCCAGAGTTGTGTACAACTCTTTCATGAAGGCGAGCTGGATGGCATATGGTTCAAATGGAAACTGGAAGGAATCTGGGACATTCACCTGTTGATCTGACAGCTGGAGAGGGGAAGATTTGACTGCAGGTTTTGATAAGCCTACAAGAAATCCATCACATGTGGTAAGTTAGGTACAATCCTAGGTTAAACATATGAACAAAAGACGGAAATGTCCACCCATTGTTAAGATAACCAAGTTATAATGCCATTTTTCCAATGTGTAATCAGTTTGGCATATTGCAAAGTCCAAATAGATGAAAAGTTCATTTGACAACTTGGTGCCTTTGGGATGTGGGCCTCATGACAGTAAGGGATACATAAATCATTCTTAATTTTAGTCTTAGTTAAGCGTAAATCATTACTTAATCCATTTTATGAGAAAGGGATCCCCATGAAGCTTCTGTTTGTTTACTGCCTATATTGACATGTTTATACAATTGCTAAAACATAACTTGTCTCAGTTTATGGTCTTACATGTACACGTTCCTGCGGTTAGTACCTAACATGCAAGACATTGAGCTCCTTGTTGAAACTACTATTTACACTAAGTACCTGATTCATTTGCTGCATTCCTGGATGCTTCACCGTCCACAGATGATTCCTCAGTGTATTCTGGCAAAGCTGCTAACAAGGCATCGTCTACATCGTCCTCAAAGTCTTCATACATGTCTCAAATACCACTACCACGGCATGAGACTGAAAACGACATCGGCTGGGGAAATCGTGCTGCCCGCTGCTTGACTGTCAAGTACTCATTTGAGATATTTACCTCTAAGAGCCAGTATCGTCTTATTTCAGATTTTACAATATCCATATAAACATTTCAATTAAATTAGAACATTTTTTATATATTTAGGGGAGTAAATTGGCAAATGACCATCAACCGTCGTTTTAATGCCCGATATCTCAAGCCCGATATGCCGCAAAAGTTACAAGTACCCAGTTACGGTATCACCAGAATGCGGAATTTTCGAAAGTGAAAAATAATTGTATGGGGGTATTTATCGAAGGTAAATGACCCTTCATAAGTTTTTTCGGACGCAGTTCTTAATAAGGTAACGACCATCGATATGTTTTATGTGCATAAAGAATGGAATAGGGATTTGAATATTTAAGCATTTTGGGATCAATTTATTTCGAGTTTCCACAGACCCAGGATGCCATTGGCATGTGTTAACTTATGCATGTGATGTCTTGCTTCTCTCTCGTATATNCCTCTAGTTCATTTTATTCTTAGTTAAGCGTAAATCACTACTTCATCCATTTTATGAGAAAGGGATCCCCATGAAGCTTCTGGTTGTTTACTGCATATATTGACATGTTTATACAATTGCCAACACATAGCCTGACTCAGTTTATTGTCTTACACGTACACGTTCCTGCGGTTAGTACCTAACATGCAAATCATTGAGCTCCTTGTTGAAACTACTATTTAATACTAAGTACCTGATTCATTTGCTGCATTCCTGGATGCTGCACCGTCCACAGATGATTCTTCAGTGTATTCTGGCAAAGCTGCTAACAAAGCGTCGTCTACATCGTCCTCAAAGTCTTCATACATGTCTCAAATACCACCACCACGGCATGAGACTGAAAACGACATCGGCTGGGGAAATCGTGCTGCCCGCTGCTTGACTGTCAAGTACTCATTTGAGATATTTACCTCTAAGAGCCAGTATCGTCTTATTTCAGATTTTACAATATCCATATAAACATTTCAATTAAATTAGAACATTTTTTATATATTTAGGGGAGTAAATTGGCAAATGACCATCAACCGTCGTTTTAATGCCCGATATCTCAAGCCCGATATGCCGCAAAAGTTACAAGTACCCAGTTACGGTATCACCAGAATGCGGAATTTTCGAAAGTGAAAAATAATTGTATGGGGGTATTTATCGAAGGTAAATGACCCTTCATAAGTTTTTTCGGACGCAGTTCTTAATAAGGTAACGACCATCGATATGTTTTATGTGCATAAAGAATGGAATAGGGATTTGAATATTTAAGCATTTTGGGATCAATTTATTTCGAGTTTCCACAGACCCAGGATGCCATTGGCATGTGTTAACTTATGCATGTGATGTCTTGCTTCTCTCTCGTATATGCACCTTGGCTTTGCCATAAGTATGTCTCAAATGTGTATTCTACTGCTAACTGCCAAATACCATGGTATTTCAATCAACATGATTTCAAACGCGAATAATTTAAGTTCAAATTTGTCTTTTGATGACTTTTATTCTGTGTGGAGCTGGATATTTGCAAGACTGCATATTTAGTGAGTGTAACTGGGTACTGCTTTTTATTCTTGTGAATCATCTGATGAAACTATTTTGGCAAGATAAATTTTTGGTACTTTTGCAATAACCGCTCCTCGC